TATTATAAATATTATTTTAATATTTTAATAAAAAATATGTCATAATAGTATAATTGTAAATTTTCTTAAAAAAAAAAAGAAAAAAATTAAATAATTATTAAATTAATATATATAAGTTTATAAAAAATTTAAAATGAGATATATGATAAAATATTTGAATAAAAACAATTATGGAGTAATTATAGAAAGAATAAAACAAAGATACCTTTATATTTTCTAGATTAGAAAACTATATTATTATTAAGAAAAAAGTCATTATAAAAAAAAAAGAAAATTAAAAAATAAAAGTCTCAAAAAATCTTGATTGAAAAAGTAATATATAAAATGTAGTAATTGAATTTTAAGTTCTATTTAAATATCAAAAAAAATCTATAGTAGTGATCTATAAGCAATAAAGTTAGCAATTGAAAGAATCTTTATCTAAATTACCAATAGAGTAATAAATTACTTTCAAAATTGTATTTAGAGTTTTGATAAATTTCAAAATAAAAATGTATAAGTTAAGTAAGATTATTTAGCTTTAGCAATATACTGTATTTTATAATATAAAGTATATAAAATATTTAATAAAGTACACATATCTAACTTGATAAAGGATTTAAAAAAATAATTATTAAATTATAAATAAAGATAAAAATTAAAACTACAATATATATATTATAATATTTTATAAATAAAATAAATAAATTATTTTAATATTCTAATAAAAAATAAAACTTTTTTAAATAAAAAATTTAAATAAATTAAAAAATTAAAATTAAAGAAATTATGATAATTAAATCTGATTTAATAATAAAATATAATTAAAAATTATTTATAATTTGATAAATTTATTAATAATTAAATTTTAAAATAATCCAGATTTTTTATCGTAATCACAATAAATTAGAATTCAATAAATTGATTATTTATAAATAAGTAAATAATTTAATAAATTAATTAATTTATATATACTTTATTAATATTATAAATTGTTATATTAATTTTTTATTAAATAAAATAATAATTATAATTTTTAGATTATATAAAAGTTCCAATTTTTTATAACTAAATTAATTAATTAGTTTTTAAAAAAATTTTTAATTAAAAATTACAATAAAAAATGATTATATTAAAAATAACAAATATTTAATTTAAGTATTTAAAAATAAAAAATTTTTATTTGTCATAAAAAAAACATTCAACCCTTATTGTATGTATGTAATTTATACTTAAAAATTGAATTAATAATTTGTTTTAATAAATTGTTATAAATAATTAACCATATTAAATTAAAATATATTGAATTTATATTATTTGAAAAGATTGATAGATTAAAACTAGACTTTATTTTAAAATTTAATAATAAATGTACTGTATCTAGCAAATATTAATACCTGGATATAGTTTTGTAATTGATAAATTAAAAAATATATTTTTATTTAAATATTTTATTATTTTAAAATGTAATAATAAATATAGCTAATACCAGGAATTAATTTTGTAATTGATAAATGAAAAAAAAAAATTTTTTTTTTTATTTAAATATTTTATTATTTTAAAATTTCATACCTAATTATATAAATTTCAAATGATTTAATATACTGTAAATAATTTATTTAAATTATTTGAATTTTTGAATATAAATAAATATTTGTAGTCATTATTTTAAATATCTATAATCTGCATATCTTTCTAAAATCTTTCTAAAATCTATTTATTTATTTGACCTTTAAATTACCAACTATGTTATGAGAATATTTAATACTGTAGAATGGCCAATAAAGACATCCATCAATTTATAACTTAATACTCTGAGTTTAAATTTGATGCAAATTATGACATCTTTATTAAATGCAATTCATTGGATTTCTTGCCTGAACGATCTGATGGAAATAAAAACAACCAAAATTTTCAAACATTCTCGACAATTATTTTGCTAGTAAGAACGAACCTTTACAGTCATCGACCCCGAAAACTTAGTGAAAAATTTTAATCAACGAAAGTCTCAAATATCACCCTATTAATTCTCCGAATTTCTGATCCGTCGAATGTATAATGGAATCTGGACGAGATACTCAATGTCTTGATAAGTCCTTTTCGCCTAAGCTTCCGAGAATATGAAATCAAATTACTCTTGTGGGATTCATATGAATCTTCTTCACACAGGTACTCCAGTTTTCTTATCGGGATAATATAATCTTCAAGAAATTCATTCAAGGTTAGATCTGAAATAATCCAGTTTGCGCTCAGATATGATATCGAGGAATTTGCCCAAATCTCGACAAAATCGAGAAAGAATTCATCAGCTTCAATTTCCGACCGCGTCTTTCCAAGAACCAAATTTTTCAGGAATTTTAATTCAATGACAAGTTTGAGGAATTCCTTGATTTCTTCATTTCCACCAAGAGGAAAAGACAAGCTTTCCAGTTGAGGACAGTTCCTCCTCAATGTTTCCAGTATTTGTACGTTTTCTTCATAAGAATGATACTCAAGGTCCAATTCTTTTAGTGATTTTCCACAATTCTCAAAGAATATTTCCAAGTCTTCGGCAACTTGAATTTTCTCTTCGTTATAACTGATCCAAAAAATCCTTAGATTTTGAAGATTCTTAAATTTACAAGCTGCGAGCATTTTAAAAAACATACTATTCGAATAGATATTCAGATCTATCATGATGTCTAGTTTCTGTAAACTAGTGCATTGTATGAGATGTTCCACTGTTGTCATGTCGCATATTGTGAAATACTCGATCTTAAGTTCGACCAAAGATTTTGCCTGACTTCGAAGGGCAGCTATTATCGCTGATAGATTATCCCACACATTTCCGCCGAAGAATAACTTTTTCAAGCCACGTTGATTCATTATTATCATAGGAAATTGGGTTTTTAGAGATTCGACCGGCGTTCGAACATCTTCAATCTCGAGTGCTGAAATATTCCGGCAGAATTGAGCCAATCCGGTAAGCATTTGGTCACAATAAATTTGTTTTAACGACAGAAAATTTAGGTGAGACAAACAGTTTGATGCCCCTTGAATGTTCGGAAGATTATTCAATAAATGTTTGAAATTCGTGGATACGGTGCCGTTAATGAAGAGGTGGGTGATTTTATTTGAACTTTTTAGAATTAGTTTGCAAATTTCAGTCACCAATGTCATGACTCCTTTGTAAGAATACTCATCGGCTTCACTATCTTCATCGATGTTAATGTAAAAGTCGCCCTCGTCTTGTTCATAAGCCACATAGTCTTCTACAATGACATCGAGTTCTTCGTGAATCACCTCGTTGCCATCATCGCCGTCACTCTTCTCATTGCCATTCTTATCGTATTTGTCGCGAAGTTCAGAAATAGCATTTCTAATCCTTTCGCGTAAAACCCATCTTTCTGCGACTTCGTTTAGTGTTGGCATATCAAGACTCCTCAAGAAACTGGCGTAGTTATATATTGGCGTTTTACAGTTAATTATTGGTATTTCTGATCTATCCAGGATATCTCGTGAACCTTCATCAAGTAAAGAAATATATATCGGGATTATCTTGTAAAGATTCTGCGAATTCGATCCAAGGTAACTGGAAAACGGTGCTTTCCACAGGTGAGGTACACCAACCGAATACCAGCTACGATTAACCATCGCCATTCTTCTAATCGTTACCACATCCTGATTAGCCCGTTCAAAAATATTACTTATTACTTCAAGAGGAACCTTGGATGCCATGATTTCCTGTCATTGTTTTAACAAGAGCTAAGTTTCGCGAAACATGCGTACATTGGAAAATTATTACAACTACATACCTCTTGAACCAGTTTTAACCGTTGATAGAGTGTATTCTTGTAAAACGGAAAAAACGCAAATCTTTAATAAATCAAACTATCCTTGTTTATTATTATGATGACGCATAAAATACATTTTGTCATGGTACGTTGTTTAAAAAAAAAACCAAAATTTCGCGTTGTTGTGTTGTGCATCATCACATGAGTTTCCGGAAGTGACCGATCGAGTTACCTTTCAGGAAAGCAAACATGACATCATATTGATCAGGCATCAATGACGGAGAATCGAGTTTATTGAATTTATAATGCCATTCGAAATATCCTAATGCGATATTGTCGATTTATGGGTTTCTCTATTTACTCTTTTTATGCAACGGCGATTATTACAGTATATACTATATTCGTAATATATACTGTAACTATTATATTGTTGTACTATAGTTTCATAAAAAATTATGGAGCTGATTGTTTATTCGATGTAATTGGAACGGAACAGACGAGAATTTGGCACGGAGCATTAAAAAAAAAAAAAAATTTTTTTTAAATTGGATTGGCAGAACCTTGAGGTTATACGAATATAACACGTATTCATTATCTGACAGAGACTAATGATCAGTGTAACTCATTCATTACGTTTTTAATAAGGCATCCCTTTTTTATCAAAAATAGCGGAAAGAGGGTTACAACATAATTAGGGTTGCATCATCACATAGGGGTAGTGGCGCAGGTGCTGACTTTTTAAATACTTTTCGGTTTAATAAATTACTGGTTAATTTTCCACGGATGATTGATCATAGTATTGATTTCGTAATAAATTAATTGAATTCTTGCTTAATAAATGTTTGGTTTTGTCGTTTATCACATGTTGAGGGAAACGGTAGGTTCTATTATGATAAAGTTTTTACCATTGTTTTTTTTTTCTCCTCATTCATTGGTTAACCAACATACTCGAATTTTTTTCGAGGGTAGAATAAAAATTTACGAGTGCGAGCATCACTTTATTTAAGTATTCGAGTTCCATCAGAGTAGAATTGTTCGAACAAACGATATCTTATGTTCATGAATAGAGGAGATATATCGCTACATTAGATATATCAATACGCTAAGCAATTGGAAAACAATTTCATGCACAATTACAAATATCGTAGAGCTATGGCCGTCCAAATTACAACCGACTGTGTAGAGGAAATTATCAAATTCCTGGCCAATGATGTGAAGACATTACACTCCTGCTTATTGGTGAACAGGTCGTGGTGTCGCCTGACCGTTCCAATATTGTGGAGCAATCCGTGGAAATATAAATCTGAAATTGGAGAGGATCAATTCAACCAGTCAATGACCATGATATTGTTGTCATTCATACCCGTGAATACGAGGGAGCTGTTACGGCAACATTATAGGAATGCAGTTATTGATTTTCCTCCGGCACAAACACCTCTATTTGAATATACTTCGTATTGCCAGTATCTCCCGACATGCGTCGTGAGACAACTTTGGAACGAGATAGAAAAAAGAAATGGATTAGCATACTCAATTCCTGATTATGTTCGATATTTCTATATAAAACATATTTACATGATGTTCATTAATTCAAGCTCGAATATCAAACATCTAGAACTTCCGCAGCACATGCGTCTCATAGATTTTCTTGAGTGCAAGGAGGGTTTAAGTCAGCTTCACGTGTTAGAGTGCAATGCAAATCACGACAGTGTATCTTTTTTCGAGATTGCGGAAATTTGTAGAAACCTTCAAAAGTTGATTGTGGACTGTGATCAAGATAATGAAGGCCTGGCGATGTTGATTAAAAAACAGCATGGACTGGAATACCTTGAAATAGCATCCTTGGAAGGGTATGAATGCCCAATAATTGGGGTGGCCTTGAAAAGTCAAGATACCACACTGGCACACATTCGACTTGGAGTTCTGGCATGCATCTCGCCATCACTACTATGTTCATTTGTTAATCTAAAGACGCTGCAATTCGATTTAATTGATCTCGGAGCGTCATATGTCAAGGAGATACTGGAACATGCAAATTTTCCTTACCTTGAGATACTTGACATATTTGGTATTAACTGCGAAGTTCATATAAATCTTTTCACAAGGTTGATTGAACAAACGCAGAGCACCCTTCAAAGGCTATACTGGAATGAGGTGACCAAGCCCAGTGAAGATGATCTGAGACTTTACTTTGAAGTAATAGCGCATAATTGTCCGAATCTGAAATTTATCACAATTCCATACATGAATCATATGATTGACCTTCTTGGCGAGATGTTAACCTTGTGTCAAAGACTAGAAGGCATGAAAATTGTTGTTTGCGAGGTGGTGAATGAAATTACGTTGTTTCAAATATTAGGCAGAAAAGCGTCAAGGAATCTATCATTGATCAACCTATCAGAAGGCTGGTGGTTTTCCCATTCAAGTTTAGAGGAATTTTTCATACTTTGGAGGGAAAAGAAACCAATGATCTTTATTTGTCCAAAAGTCACAATGCAGGATCGAGAGGAAACCATCGAAGTCGTTCAGAAATATTTAAAAGAAGGAGTAATAAAAGAATTTATTGACATAGCGTTTGACATGAACCATATTCGTTGGATCAAAGACTCTTGGAGAATAGGCCCAGCATACGACAGATAGCCGCTTTAATAGCTCGAATCATTGTAATGTGAGAATATTCTTCATTGAATTGGTTGTGGAACCAAACAAGTACCGTTCGTTATCCCTTCAAAAAAAAAATTTTTTTTTTTTTCTTGTTATCATACGACCTTCAATTGCAGTTTACCTTGCCCTTATTACAGGTTAAAAAAAAGGTCAAGTGGATTTGGAAGATGTGATTTCTCTTTTAAGATTAACCCTAGGGATAACATTAAAAGTTGACATCAGTTTCAAACTTCGAAGATTTTGTAATACTGCATCTGGATATGTTATAAAAATGTCCCCTTGATGCGCGCGCTATTACGATATTTTTGAGTGCAGAGGCGAGAAAAGAATTAATTTCCTTGTAAATTCCAAAAGGCACGTGCATATTGGATAGCTCCACGTTATTTATTAATATAATTAAGTATCTTCCTGACGCGAAAAGTTAAACACTTCCTCCGAGATTGTTCAGACATTAATTTCAATATTCCTCCCACTCAATGACTAAATGCATTGCTTAACTTGGTAGCGAGTTGTTTTATTTATATAATTATACTTCTGTCCTAATCTACTATCTCTAGATGTGACGTCTTTCATTACTAACTACAGAAATGCGTGGTTTTTAATTTCTTTTCGTGCATTATTTATGTATGATCAATAATTCTATTAAAAAAAAAAAAAAATTATTATATATACTGCATATATATATATATACATATATATGTATATTTGCATCGCATCTCACCAGTATGTTATTCATAAGGAATGCTATGCAGAAAGTGTGTTTTTATGAATATTTATATTACTTTTGTATACAAATGTCATGCAAAAATGAATTGGTGAATCATGCTTCTATCTATCTCTCATTCGGCAAACTGTTGACCGCCTGCAATTATAAGAGTGAATGAATGAAATGTTTCCGGATGTTTGTTTTATTCGTCCAGCCGCAGTTGTCTCGGTCGTTGACTTCTACTTCGGTCAAAGTAATAGTAGAGGAGATTTAATTGTGTCTGGCTTAAGCCGCGAAGATATTCGAAAAATGTGTTGTCATCTCCCAGTACTGTGTATATGGCCACAAGGGTATCAACGACCGATTTCCTTATAATTGACCTTGAATCACCGAATCCCTGCATGTAAGATGAACACAAGATAAAGAATGAGCGAACACAAAAAAACTATCAAGAACGCATGAATACTACAAACCTTGATTGTCAATGGAACTATTCTGCCTATCTGTCTTTTCAAGGACCCTTTATCAAATCTCATGAATATTCGTGATAATGCCATAAATGCAGATGCCTTCATCTTCGATTGTGCATCCGAATTCGTGGTATTTCCGAACAGGCTTGATTCCATAATATCGATGAGGGCATATAAGCCGGCGTTACCATCGACTCGTTGAACATAATTCTCTAGAATCTCTTCAGCATGAAAACATATCTGCACGCATCGTTGAAATCAATAAATACATTCACCAAATATATACAGATATACGCCGCTGGAGTTTCAAAAAATTAATATAACTTACTGATTTGGATAAGTCAGCCCGACATTCAAGTAAGACATGTAAGATGTCCCTTTCAAGTCTTTGATCAAGGGAGTAATCGAATTGATTTTCTAGAAAATGCCCAAGCAATATTACCGCATTTTCTTTCATCTCAGTATCTTTCTATAAACAATAAAATAAACTTAGCAAAACGTTTGCGACTAAATAAATAAATGTATATATAAAATATGGTGAAAAATAAGAACCGTGTCAGCCAAGAATCCTATTAAAGCCGTCAATATCTCTCGGAATCTTTCGCCGCATTCCCAGATATCATCTGCGAGCTTTCTGTTATTTAACGAAGTTTCCTTGGATAATCGCGTCAACTTACGGAAAAGATAATTGTCTACTTCATGATTATTCAAATGTGCCAAAAGAGTCACAAGCAATAATTTTTTCTCTTGCATAGAGACAGGGAGCGATGAATCTGTAAATATGTTCAAAAAGAAATATTAAAATCTGAGGTTATCAAACAAGCGATAAAACGAAGGATACCACACACGTTCGATATGTTTTAATGCGCGTTCGCGAGCACTCGGTATTGAATCCTTGCTCTCAGATGACGCAGTCTGCGATGGTTTTTCTGTCAATGAGGGTACACATTCTGCGCTACCAGCGATAGACGTCAAATCGCCCTTCTCTGATGGTTCCGTCGAGTTTTTTCCGTCAGAAACCGGTATATTCGTTTCGGTGATGGTGTTTTGCTGGATTTCATCGGAGTGTATTGGAGACGTAGAACTATCTTTTTCAGATATTTTAATGACAGTGTTTTTTCGTTGAGGATTTTCTTCCGACGCATTCAACAGTTCGGGAATTTCAATTTCTTGTATAGGCGATAATGTCGTGTCCGCGTCGATCGCGTTATTTCCATTCTTAAATCTTTCTTCGGGATTTACGAAAAATGGATTGATATTACCATCTAAGGTGTTTGAAAGTTGTTTCCACATATCATCGGTTATATAAATGCTTGTTCGACTTATCGTCATGTCCACTAAATTGTCGGGTGCAGTTTCCTGAGTATGGACAAAAGTTCAAAAAAGTGTTAGAAGTGGTCTAGTATTCTCGAATTTTTTTTTAAAAAAAGCTTACATCGTTCAACGAATTTTCCTCTACATCAGCGATCTCTTTTAAATTTTTTAATTCTGGATCTCGTTCATCAAATTTCATTGCTCGGTGTGAAGTATGAGGCGGTGAAACAACTCTTTTTATTTTCTGTACATCTTTCTGCGAGGGGCGAAGTGAAGAATCCATTCGTACTTCGCGTTCCATAGGTTCACTCATCGTCCTCTTGTCTTTGTAGCCTTCTCTTTGTGATTGGGTGAGCTCAAATTCACTGACGCTGTCATTATCTTCATACGGCCCTTCACTGTATGTCTCCCTGTCAGTTGTTTCAGTCCAACTACTGTCTCTTGACATCCGCCTACCATTATTAGTCCATTCCGTTCCTTTTTGTCTATTACTCCCCCGTTCCGTATCCTTGAGATGAGGGCGCCTATTTCTTTCATCCCAGTAATTTTCCCAGTGGTTCTTTGGTGATGGACGTGGCCCTCTGTCATCCCACTCATTTTTGCGTGAATCTCTTGGGATTCTTTGACCTCTTTCATCCCACTCAGAGTCTCTAATGACTCGTGATGTCCTTCTATCGTTTAAACTTTCTTTTGAATCTTTCACTCGAAGACGATGTGTTCTATCATCATATTCAAAATTCCTTCTATCTCTCGGCGACGCCAAACTCGACCTATCATCCCAATCGCTATCTCTTTGTAACATCCGTATGCTTCTTTCACTTCTTTCACTTCTTTCATCAAAATCTCTCTCTCTCAATTCTTTGGGTAGCGACCGAGCACTTCGCTCATCCCACTCAAGATCCTTGTTTCTAGGAACAGGTCGCCCAGCTTTTTCATCCCACTCGTAATGTCTCGATGATTCCCGTTCTCGATCTTGAGAGTTTCCACTCATATTGTCCCACTCTGTCGATCTAGAATTCTTTAATACATTTTTTTCACCATGAAGATATTGATCCCTTGCCGATTTTTGTTTGTAATAGTTCCACTCATTTTCCTTGCTCCTCGGTGAAGAACGTCTATCCCTTTCATCCCATTCGTTATCGCGCGGCATCAATCTGTCTCTGTCAACGAGTTGTCCCTCTTCGTTGTCGTATGTCATTCGTCTGCCGTGTTCATTCCAATCAATATTTCTTCGATCCCTTTCTTCCCAATTACCATTTTCCCGGAGTGCCCGTGTATCATAATCACTTTCACGAGTGGGTGTTCTTGACCTTTGATGTCTACCATCTACTTCATAAGGATAAAGCAGATTTGTACCTACAGACGCGTGCTTATTCTTCGGTGACCAATCGTGTTCTCTCGGTGATTCACTAGGCATTGACTGTGGAGCTATTTGTTGTTTAACCCAATCATTGACTAAGGGATTCGTTTGGTTTGATTGTAATACGGACAAAGATTGAACCCTGTGTAGGGGTGATGGCTTTCTAGACTTTGGCTGGATTTCTATCCCCCTCTCATTATCTCGCTGTTGTAATTCGCGTTCGTGTCTGTCTATTTCATGTTGTCGTTGATCGACAGCTTGTTCTGCTTCGCGTCGTTCTCGGAACTCACGTTCGCGCTTTATCTGAAGTTCTCGATCTCGCTCAAGCTCCCGTTCTTGTAGTTCTCGCTCATACTCGCGCTGTTCCTGAAGCTCACGTTCCCGTTTTATTCGCAATTCTCTCTCGCGCTCGAACTCACGTTCTTGGAGTTCACGTTCGCGTTTTATTTGAAGCTCCCTTTCGCGTTCAAACTCACGTTCCTGGAGTTCACGCTCCCTTTGTTCCTGAAGTTCGCGTTCTCTCTGCTCTTGGAGTTCACGTTCCCTCTGCTCTTGGAGTTCACGTTCCCTCTGCTCTTGGAGTTCACGTTCCCTCTGCTCTTGGAGTTCACGTTCCCTTTGCTCTTGAAGTTCGCGTTCCCTTTGTTCGCGTTTCATTTTAAGCTTTTGTTCCTGTTCAAGTTTGCGCTGCATTTCAATTTCCCTTTCTCGTTGCCGTTCGGCTTCTAACTCACGTTGTCTCTGTAATTCTTTTTCATATTCGATTTCTTGCAACTGCTGAAGTTCCAATTCTCTCTCCCGCTCCCTTTGTTGCAATAATTCTCGTTCACGTCTTTTCCTCTCCAATTGTTCTTGTTTTTGCTTTTGCAATTGCTGTAATTGCATTTGCTGCTGCTTGATTAAATTTTCTTCATATATGCGTCTCTCTAACTCTTCTTTTTCGAATAAAGCTTGCTGTTGCTTCGCGAGCTCCTCTTGATGTTCTTCGTCTTCTTCGACTTCTTCCCAGCCAATAATTTCGCCTATCGCGTCCGCCGTTTTATAATCGAAGGTATCCAAAACTGCTTGAAAAACATCCGGATTTATCTTGTGTAAATTAATCACCAAATCACTGAGCGGTTTAAAATTTTCTGATTTTTCTTTGATCATTGTCGCCAACGGAATAAGACGATTGGCAAGCAATTTATATTTTTCTTGGTCACCCAGAAATCCCTTGACCATTCCTTCGTTCTGCTCTACCTCATCTACTTTTGGTTCAACTATTTCATTAAGCCAATTAAGAATCCCATTTATGACTTTACGTTTTTGGGGCGGTGTAAATCCAAATGCTGCGGCTAGCTTTCTGGGTGTTGTTCCGGATCCTCCTAACGCCAAAAGACATTTATTAAGTGCTGCCAAAGATTTTTCACCCCCGAGCTCAGCTTTAATTTTAGGAAGGAAATTTTTTACAATTTCCGCTTGTTCAGGTTTGGTCTCATCACTTGCGAGAAAAAGGACCCTTGGTAGCAAGTTTTCAAGTTTTACAACTTTTGCCAATTCGATGAAAACATTAGGTTCCAAAAATGTCTCCAAAACCTTATTGCTTTTGTCGTTTAGTATGTTTAATAAATGTGAACTTAAATCCTCGTCGGGTGGAAGCAGCGTCTTTTTAAAATCTGGTTTTCCAGATGGTGTATCCATTGATCTTTTGACCACAAGTTGTGCTACATTTAGTATCCCTTCAATGCGTGTGGTCCATTCGCTGTGCTCCAATTGCTCGATAACGGTCAACTTGCGAGGATGAGGTTTCGGAACAGTCAAAGTGCTTTGTGAGGTGGACTTGCTTGGTGACATGGATGGTGATTTCAAAAGTTTAGAAGCATCAGATTTACCTTTCATCATTGCAGGTGGAGCAGGTGACTTTGCACGTAATTTAGGCGTTGGTGTTTTTGCCGATAATCTCGAACGATCCTCTTTTGCATTCTTCGAAGCAGAATCAGCACGCAAGGGAAAATTATCGCTGGCTCCACTATCGGATGCAGCAATACTTGGAGGTCTTTTTGATTTTCCAAAACTTGCGGAGCGAGTACGCCCCCTGGTTGGTGTGGCGGGTGTTGTCGGTTCCACAGGGGATGTTATATTTAATGTTTTCGGTCTGTCGCGCTCCAATTGCTTTTTTACTGCTGGTTCGATATTTTTTAGAACCCTAGAAAGTTTTATTCAAGTTAATTATTATAAAATAAAATATAAAATAAATAAAATCGACTTACCTTTCACCTCTCTCTGTCCATATTTCGTAAAATGACCAAAATAACTCGCGACATGTTTCCCTAACCTTGGGATTTGCGTCAGTCAAACCTTTGCGTACACATTTTTCTAGCATTTCGGCTGCTCCCGATCGTTCCATGACATCCCTTTTATTTTCATGTGATTTTACGACAGTTGTCACAAATCCAATCGCATACTCTCTTAACTGTTTATTATTATCTTCCATCGCATTCCACAGTTGCGTGACTAAGCGATTGTGATATGATACGTGCTGTAAAAGAGCGTTGGCTGAAATAGCAGCAGCCCGTGCAACAATTTTCTTTGTTGACAACACTATTTTGATGAGATTTGCTAAAAGATTATCGGCGAAAGGATCGAGCGCGGGACCCAAATTTACTGCTAAATCCTTTACAAGACTTGCGCTAGCCAATGTTAGGGTCGTGCGTAAACTATTGAGCTGTAAGTTTGATTTAAAATCTATTAATTAATATATCTAATAATATATATATATATATGTTTAATAGTAAATGGTAGCATACCGATTTCAAAATACCATCCATCGTCAACTTAAGTCCATTGATGAAAGTTTCTCTAAAGTTTGTAAAGGCCTCGCCTCTAACCAGACCCCTCAATCTATTTATGCTCCTTTCGCGATTTAACCAATTTTGTTCAGATTCCTTGCCTTGAAAAGGTACCAGTATATTTTGAAATTCTCTTTCCAGTTCTTTTGCACTGTCCACCTAAAAAGCAGAAGGGATAATAAATATAAATACTTGATTTATATTATCCAAAATGCATAATGAGAAATTGCTCACATATAAAACACCAATTTCACTACCAATAGAACTATTTGGTCTGACAATAGAATCTGCCGGCTTAGAAATTTCCTCATTTCCTGGGCCGTCATTAGCATAATCATCTTCATCCGCTTCAATTCCGGCATCATTATGGTCATCATGATTTTCTTCGTCATTACTATGCTCGATGTGAGTATCGTTCGTCGGTTGATTGTTGTATACCCTCGTAAGAATATATTCAGCAATACCTGGGCGAATCGATTGTTCTTGAAGTTCTCTTTTCAAATCTGATTTTGCATGCGATGCCGCACCACTGAAATAAAGAAATTTACTATTTTTAACATGCCAGCCCAATGAATTATAAGAGAGACTAATGTATACCTAAACAATGCTATTATTGTATCTTTTGCGGCTTCCCTCACATGTTCGTTTGGATCTTCTAAAAGTTTAACCACGTATGGAACCCATGGTCGTAAAGAAAAATCTGTGATTTTTTTCGTACATAATACAATCCACTGCAAAATCTTTAAACATAAGTTAAAAAAAAAAACAATTCAATAGTTAAGTTACAGCCGACTTTAATAAAATATATGCTTCAAAAATCATTCCTCACCTGTTCCCGAACCCTCCATTGTTTGTGACCAAAAGCTGAATCCTTAATAATGGTTCCTAGAGCGGTTATAATGTTAGCACCGCCATTAATCGATGTTGCCGAATTATACATGGTTAATAACACCTGAAGTGCTGTGTCTCTAGTTTTATCTTTTGAATCTCCTTGTTTATCTATGACAACAGACGCAAATGCCGAAACCACATTTTTAAATTGAGGGGGATGTGTTTCAGCAACTAAAGACACAAATGGATTCAGACAAGTAAGTGCGGCGTAGGAAAGAGCCATCTGTGAACCTTTAATCGTATCTTTTAGGATCTGTACAAGTTGGCCAATCTCCTGTGGCTGAAATTTTAAAGATCGAGTGCGTAGGATATAATTAATCGATACATTTTGTAATTCGCGTATAAAGATCATCATTGAACTCAAAACCAACCTCTAGTGGAGTTTCTTCTATCAGCTCCTCCTCTAATTTTGCTAACGCATCGATCTTTTTATCCAGATCTATTCATTCGAAAAAATGAATGTTATTAGATTTCAATAAGAAAAAACAGATCGGTGTCTTAATTTGTGAGATAATATAAATAAATAAATCATAAGAGGCATTCATACTATTTCCCCTCAACGCCTCCAGCACCTTGTCGACAGCTTCAGTCATTTGCAATCAGAATCTTTTTCAGCGATTGGGTGACGTTCATTCGTATTCTTGCGCTATCAAGGTTTGACCAAAACGATATAAAACTAAACACTATACAAATTACAAATATACTTTATTTTTATTATGGTTAGAGAATAAAAAGATATGTCTTATACTCGGAATTTGTTTTTTTTTTTTTTTTTTTTTTTTTTTTTTTTGGTTTTTTTGAGAATAGGTCGATTATTTGTTCCGGATAGGGGCTGATTTTCAAATAATTGGATAATTGGTTACAAGAACTGTGTAACAAAACGGATTATAATAAGTCTCAACATTAAAAAGGCCTTTCGATATTTAATTGGCAAGTACTTTGGTAACTTCTTTTATTGGTATCATTCCTTTCATGACATAAAAGAATGAAGAAATACTAGGCCGTAGTCGATGCAGCTGCATGCTCACTAGACCATAGTTGGGTATATCACTTTAAGTCCGTTACAAGCGTAGAAATAACAATTTATTAAACAATCCGTCAAGGATATATTGTCTTACCCACTAAAATTGAAAAACAAATCTAAAACACCTTATGCCTAAACAAGATGTCTACTCAAAGTTATCATGCCTATTTCGATAAGAGCTCTTCAATTTCACAATTTCAATAGCATATATACATACAATCGAACCGTATTAACTAAAATTTAATGGTGTCATAGTTGTCATAGCATGCATGCAAAGTTTAAGGGTAATAATGATAAATATTTGTGGTAATCATGCATGACCTATTAACTACCGACTACCGACCAATCGAGAAAAAACTGAATACAAATTATTACTATTGTTAATATTGCTAATATATTATTATAAAAAACTGTTAATTAAAAATTATTGTTAATTAATATACAGTATATACAGTTTTATTTATAGTTTGATAACCAATAAAATTATAAATGTTTAATTTGAAAATAAAAAGAATATTCAAATTTCTATTGTATATTACAAATAAAAAAATTTTATTAAATAAAAACAAATAATTTAATAAAATAATTTTTTTATAATTCTTTTAGCATTAAAATTTTATATAAATATTATAGTAAAATCAAAATTTTTTAAAAAATTTTTAAAATCAATTCTATACAATAAAACAATAATTTAATTCTAAAAAAATTATTTGTATTTAGTAAGAATTAAAAAAAATTTTTTTTTAAAATTTTATAATTAATTTTTATAAGAATTTATTATAGTAAAAATTATATTTTTTACTATTTTTATATATTAGCTTATAATAAAAATATTAAAAATTTATTTTTATTATTTTTTTTTTTTAAATCCATAATCAGATCAGCACTATGTATTTATTAATCAATATGAAAACCAATAAAAATATATAGAGCAATTGCATTATAACTAAATTAAACTTATACTAACTTATTTATTAATGAATTTTAATTCTCGAAAAAACTTCAGCCTCTAAGTATAACCTTGAAGACAATATTTTACTCCATAATAGATTTTGAATGAATACTCTCCTAATTTATATATTATTGTTAGCAGATTATCACTACTTATTATTCTCCAAGGAATTGATTTCAAGAAATTACAAAAAGAAAAAGGAAAAATAAACGGAAAGGATATATCTAAAAATATACAATTGTACTATATAAAAATAAAAAAAAATAAAAAAAAAATAAAAACACTTCATATTCTTCAAAAATCTTTTACTAAAAACTTCTTTTTATTAGAAGTCAACTCTTCTGGAATATATTTTTTTTTCTAACTATCTAAACTTATCTATTCATGATCTTGATTATTTTCTTATGATTATTTGAGATACTTATCACCTGCTCAGATTCAGTATCTTGTTCAATGTTTCCTTTCTTTCAATCTTAATTTTGCATCTACCTAAACAGAATAAAATAATTAATAGTGGATTTCAGACTTTTATGTGACTTTTCAATCATGTGTAACTTACAATATCTTTTAACAGTTATGCTTAGTTAAAGGAATTTTATTAATATTTATCTTAATTACAATATTATTACACAATATCAAAAAATACATTCTTAATCCTAGAAAAAGACAATGTTTTATATTCCTCTACTTTTTTGATCTTATAGCCTAACTAGGATAAGGAAATAATCTTTTTCATATATTTTACCTAATTGAAATAATAAAAAGTTAAAAGTCTTAGTTTAAACAAATAACCATCTTTTCATTCTCTAGAAAATTTAATATTTATCTTAATAATTTTATAATTTCTTTGCTTCAGTTACATTTCATTTAAAGAAGTGAATAAATTCATATCAATAATTTTTCTTTCTTTTATCAATAATATTATTATAACATATGATATAACTAGTAGAAACTTGTTTATATTCTACTACCAATATGTTTTGTATTAATCAATCACTTTTAACAAAAGTTGTATTAATTTTGTGTCACTTCAAAATTCAGAATCAAGCTAAGATAGATAAAATTTTTTAAAAATTCTAAAAAATGAGCTATTTTAAAAGAATAGAAACAGTATGAAGGAAAGTTTTATGGTTTAGACTTTTGTTTACATATTTATCCATTATATAAAACCTCTAGTTGCACTCTTGCTTCAGTAAATAGGTTTTCAATACTTCACTATTAATTTTCTTTTTTTAGAACTTTCTTATTATAAGTAAAAAAAGTGTTTTTTAACTTTTCTTGATTACCAGAAGTCAAGTTTTTGTTTAAACAGGAATATAAACAAAAAAGAGAAATTGAGAGAAACTCTTAAAATTATTCTTCAAGTTATTTTAAAGAAAGAAATAAAACTTTATTAGTAAAAAAATATATAACTTTTTTGTAAACATTTTTTTTATATGTTGTTATAGAATCTGTAAAAAAGGTTTTTTTTTAAAATATTAAAAATTTATTTAAATTTAATAATTATTTATTAATTATAATAAAAAAAAATTTTTTAAATTTATAATTAGATCAATATTATATATTTATTAATTATTAAGAAAACTGATAAAAATATAGAATTTTTTTTTTTTAACACTGGCCTATTCTTGCATCAAGGTGAATATATTTTATTAAAGCAAGAAGATATCTAAGGACAACTAAAATGAATAATTACCTGTATTGTCTAAGGATTTACAGATCAATAAATAGTATAGAGAGCAAACTATTTATATCTAACCTAACTAGAATAAAATAATTACATGACTGTCTAGTATAAATATACTAATTACTAAAACAAAACAAGAAATAATATTAAGTAAAAAGAATTTTTCACTATATTATCTATATAATTATATCTAGTATTCCCTAGAGACATGACAAAATATGATCTACTGAGTAACTTATTGTTATCCTAGATTCCATAAAGAGGGGGGACTAATATGCCAAGGATTTATCTGTGATATTCATCACTTCTAATATTGATGATTCCTAATATAGAGCCTTAACTCTACTAGTACTATCCAAAAATTTTTTATATCGTGATACTGTCAAGTAAGTATCTTGAAGAGATCAGATAATTGCTTAATAAATCGAGGAGTTGTCTTTCTAATGTATCAGTATCAGGTAACCAAAAACTTTTCTAAAGAACCTTACACCTTATAATCTTTTTTTTTTGATTGTATACACTAGAAAAGAGAGAGGAGGAATAGAGAAAAGTTATTGTTTGCTATTCAATAAGTTCTAATCTTATTTCTTTATTCTTTTCATATGGCTATTAATATTATAGATTTTATGTCCTGTATCCATCCATATAACTGACTTGCAACTTATGATAAATATCAGATTCTTATAGATATTGAGAAAA